GGTAGCAGCAAGTGCTTCAGTGTTGCATACTGTCTGAGAATGCGTCAGAAGTAAAACGAACAGGAAAACTCCCTCCATTTAAAACAAAAAAAAAAGAAGGAAAAAAGAAAAAAATGTCTAGTATGTTCCAAGATCAGTCATAATAATGGAAGTTCATATCAGATAAATTGCCAGAGTCAGAATGGACAAACATCTGGTTTATTCATCCCTAGCTATACTAACAAAAATATGATATCCTGTTAGATAACTCACTGATCATCCTAGTTTATCTTGGCAGTTGTGCACCTTTATATTTTTCACTTAAACAGGAACATATCAATACTTTACAGCTAGTATGCCTCTAGCTCCAGGTTCACAGTTCATGTGCTTCTGTGACTTTGAACTCTTCTTTTCCTGAGTTTGCCAGTAGACAGCTGCACCAGAACAGATATGTTTACATGGGGGGAGTAAATGGCAGCAAGCAGCTCAGAGTTTCCATTTCCTTTTACATTGTTCAGGAATCCAGGCTCACAACTCTTGTCCTAAAGCTTCACCTTGTGTGTTTGCTTCTGACTTGGCCCTTTACAGTACGAACGTTTTATTTTGACATTGATTTGCTGATAGAAAATGCTGACTGAGAAGAAGCTAGTTTCACTACCGGTTAGCCTCAGTTTACATAAAATTATATTGTACGTGAATTGTCTTAAAAAAAAAAAAAAACACTTTATGTGAAGGAATTAAACAGTATGTAAATGTGAGGCTAATGTGGAACCATTTTATGCAGTTATAGCATGATAGATGTATTTCTAGGTGGAGAAAAATTACATTTTTTATTAAGCATGACTATGAAATCTGATTAGCTGCTTAAACCATGACAGTGACTATTTAAGCTATTGTGATACACAGATGATAAAATATTCCCAGATGTGCTTGGCAGGGCAGTAATTCCATGACGAAGAGGTTACGGTAATTATAAAGAAGAAACAAAACCATCACAGTGATTTGTTCGTTTGCCTGAACCTGAAAGTGGAATTAGAGACTTCAGTGAGTGGTGTCTGTTGTCCAGAAAGGAAATTCTTTCTCTGACTTTATACAGCCTAGCAGACTTCTCATCATCTCTGCTTAATTCCACATGCCTTATGAGCTTTTACTCCCCTTTTTGTACCTAACCTGGACATTTTAGTTTCTTACTCTGAACTAAACCTGTGGTTTATTGGTTATTTTGGTAGCTGAACTGAGTGAAGTAAACGTCATATACGTGACTTGTTGAAGGCCCTATAGTAATTCAATGTGTTTTGCCTGCTGTTAGTTTGAAGGAAGGTTCCCTGCTTAAACCTGATGTATTAGAATGAGCCTGGCTTTAGGTCACTCTCAGGTGGTATCTGTTATGAGAAGAAATTGCTTGAACTTGTTGGAGCAATTTGATTTGGTTTACTTTTGATATATGTGTTTATATTAATTGCTAGAGGACCTTGGGACATTATTAAAAATTATGTAATAGCACAGTACCAATGCGTATAATTTTAATATTTAATCAGCATTCTAAAGCTTCCTACGATGCTCTAGGTCATAAAATTGAAGCGTAAAATTTAAATAACAAAGTATTTGTAGAATTACGTTTTGCACTTTATATGACTATGCAGTGAGCCAGCTCAGAGTGCCATACTGGCTGAAAATTATGCCTGGAAAATAATCTTTTAGTTCCTGTATAGGTCATTGTCCAGTTTTGCCAGTGCAAGAAAGGGAATGGGAATTCAAAGCCGGGCGTGGGACTGTAGTGGTCCTCGTTTAGGTTGGCGTGTGTTGCCATGGGATTGCGTTTTCAGGCTAGCAACGAAGCACAAATACATGCATATTTTTCCGTGAGCTCGCTGAAGGTAAGTCGTTTAACTCTTTACTTTCTTTTGAAATATTATATTTGGCAGGGCTGGGAGGAGGCATCAAAGCAAGCAGTTAACATCGTGCTGGCTTCATCGTGTCTATAACGCACCTCTTCCCTGTTTGCAGGGCAGCTAGCCCGCTTAGCAGGGACTCGTGGCGCTCAGAAGTTACTGCTTTGAGGGGGATGGGGTAAAGGGGCTGCTGGGGAGGGGAGCAGAGGCTGAGTAGTGGGGTTAGGCTGTCAGGGCTTCTCAAAACCCAGTCTCGACCACTGCAGGTGCTGAGGCCGCTGCAGTCTTAGTTGCTTGGTGTACGTTGAGAAGCTGGCCACGTTGTACCCTTCTGCCTAGGTAGAGGTTTGTTCCTGATACCTTCCTCAGCTGACCTGTAATCAGTAATTACATTATGTTGATATATCATATACTAAAAGTGGTAACTGTTGCATACATGAATATATATACTTGCAATTTCTGCGATTTCATTTAAAGTGATTAACTGTTTTATCTCATAATCTCTAAATGCAGATTAGCTTGAACCTTCCTATTCATGATCTGTTTTTCACTGGCACTCTAATTTGGAAGCAGGAAACAATCTGAAAGCAATTGTATTAAGTGTTTCGGCACAGAGATTTTAAAATACAGTAGTTTGGCATATTGCTCTATCTTCCCACTGGTCCTCAGAGGAAATAAAATGGAGATGGTAACTTTCATCCAGGCAGCTTTTATACTACATCCTGTTTCCTTCCTCACATGGGAGAAAGCTCTGACGTTTCCTCTCTCTGTTTCCTCCACTTTAAAATGTGAAATCCCAATCTCTCTGTGTGCTGTAGGGCTCACATTCATCTTTTCAGATGTCGGTATAGGATTCGGATTATTTGTGTATGTCAAGTTTAGGCACATTAGTGTTTCCCCTCCATGTCAAGTGAAAGCATTACAGAGAATAAGAAGAAGAATATGCATAGCTAAACAGGTCAGTGCCCCCTGCACAGCTTTCCTGGGTGTTTGCTCTGGCTTCTTAGTTTGTTCTCTCCGCATAAAGGAAGTCTAGCACCTTCCTGAGAGCTGTGAAGTGCTATGTGAACTGTTCCTGTGCTCCCTGGAAGGCTGAAATCTCTGCTTTCCTCTCATTGGAAATTACAGAAAGGGGCATCCCAACTCTTAAGAAAAACTGACCCTTTAAAAGGCTTGGAGTAGAAAGGATTAATTCCCTGGAAACTTTGTTTGGAAACCAGTGAGGAGACTGCTGTGTTTACATGCTGGCCATCTCCATAAGAGACATTATTTTCCCACCCTCTCAAGTACTTGGTAGTTTATCTGTTGTTTATATTAAAGATTGATCATGTTATATATTCCTGACTCGGAGTTCTCATTAATCATGCTGTGCCACATAAAAGAGCAGAGAAGAAGAATGAGGGGTACTGGAATTAGACATGTGATTGTTGGCTCTGCTTCTAATATGACTTACGCTGACAATAG